CATCGGAGAAGCCGAAGGAGAACAAGCTGATCTCGGCGATGAGTGCATAGTCTGGCACCATCATAGCCACGGGACGGAACAGTGCCTGTCAAGTAGACGAGCGATCACATGCAATCGTATCGAGACTTCAACAACTAATATATTTATTTCGATTGCACCCTATATTTATACACACTGCAAGTCTGCAACCAAACCCTGGCTGAACTATCATATTTCTTGTAGTCATTTTCTAGAAATCAGGCATGCGTGCCAAATTGCAATCCGATTGACTGATATAATGCGGATGCTTTACGAAAATTGTCGTGCGTGAAATGTCTATATAGTCTGATTCTGATAAGACTGTTGTGCTGTAATATGACTGCTTAGCCAACACGTTATTGGAACCGAACAAGACACCATTGTAAACTCTAATTGGCTGTTTTTTGGCAGCCATTATTAGCTGTCAAATTATATTTATTGGATGAGATGCCTTGCTTCCAAACACAGGGATATTGTTGTTAGCAGTCAACTGATACATATTAGTGCTAGCCTGTGAGTTTAATACAATGAAAGTGTCAATGACACTATAGCTCGAGCACTTGGGTGTGATAGAAGAGGGAGATGATATTTAAAATTTGGTAAGTGTTTCATGTATGACAGACCGAAATGTGATCAAATGTCCTTATTTCCTGTTTTATACTAATAGAAATTTCACTGCCTTGTTTCAGGGTTAGTTTCAATGCGAAAATAAATGTTTCAAATCTGGAAGTCTAAAATCTGGGTGAGAGATGGCGCTACGCCTAAATGATCGCCATTTCGGTTTTCGATTATTGTGCAAATATAAGCAATAAAATATTCCAGTCAAATTACTGTAACGAAGAATCAAAAACACAATATTACACGTAGGTATGATTAGGTAGGTAGATAGGTAGGTAGGTAATTAAATTAAACAAAATCGAATGAATCTAGATGGCCATTTTCAGTTTTGCCAAAAAGTGAGCGTGGCTCGAAAGTAGGTCGACTGGCGTGCTCCAAAATAGGACGTTCAAATCCCTCCCATAGGAGTAACAAGTTAACTAACAACTGTATGCAATTTGAAACATGTGGGTCAAACGGTTCTTGAGTTATCGTTGACCGTAGGCAGACACTGAAATGCATAGTGAAATTGCCAAAATCTACATAATTTGCATAATTTAAAAAAAAATATAAAAACCCGTGTTATATGTTTTGGGGCCAGTCCTTATTCATTCACATACCAAAAATGAGCAAAATCCATTGAACCTGAACTGACTTATGGCCATTTCCATTTTTTCCAAAAAGTGGGCGTGGCTCGAAAGTAGGTCAACTGGCATGCTCCAAAATAGGACGTTCACATCTCTAGCTCCCATAGGATTAACAACTGTATGCAATTTGAAACATATGGGTCAAACGGTTCTCAAGTTATCATTGACCGTAGCCAAATGTTGACGGACGGACGTACAACGGACAATGCCCCATGGCAATAGCTCATCTTAACGATGTCAAGGTGAGTTAAAAACACATTCTTTCTCATCAGTTTGTAGACACTGAAAGGTACATTCTAA